TAAATGTAAATGTATGTTGTTGTATAAAATTATTGTTGCATATTATAGCTGTTTTATATAAATTATAGTTGCTCGTAAAAGTACTCTCACCATAGTACGACTTTTGTATATTTTCTAACATTTTGTAATTTCGTGAATAATGTGACGAGAGATCAACATGATCATATTGGCAAAATTTGAAATTAATCGAATCGAATATGAAAGAAACATGTTGCATAACGTTTGATAATATTTTATAATAATCCATAGAAATTCCGAGAATACAACTCAACGAAAAAGTTAATTGCAACATGATTTTTAAGCGTAATATAATTTATCTATCTAACAATCTAATGATATAACAATCAATGTAACACACAGAGGAATTCTCTCTCACGAAAGACGCCAAGATTGATAACTATGAAAGTTCATCTCGAGACATCTCATCACATCTAGAGACGTGTATGCATTCTTAAAGGTAGGAAGCGACACAAGTCGTCAGCTATTCCGTTCCTCGGCGCTAATAAAATGTACTGTGCCTCGGTACATAGTAACGTAGGGGAGAAAATCATAAATCATCTTTCTAAATTGCTGAAGTTTACCTCAGCCACCTTTCTCGCCCCACATACTTGCATTTACCGACGATAAAGCTTACATAATGTCACGAACAATCACGAAGGCACATACCCAAGAAACTGCCAATAACGTCAAAGACACGTCTCTAAAACTGAGATCTGAGAAACGTTCAGAATGGCACAGTGACTTCCACTCGATTTTCGAATAATAGAAATTGAAACTGTTTTACTTGAAAAAGAAAATTTTACATGGGCTCATTTTGAAGAAAAATGAAAATAAATGAGAATTTACTTTCAAAATGCATCGTTCACATGTGTTATAAATATATATATATATTGTTATATATATATAAATTATATAAATATAGTTATATATATATATAAATTATAATATTGTTATATATAATATTCAATTTAATATAATATATTTATTATATTAATATTAATATAATAAAATATAATAAAATTGATATTATTATTATATTATTATATCAATACATTATATTTATAATATTTAATATAATATAATAATAATAAAATATAATAATATAATAATAATAAAATATAATAAAATAATAAAATTGATATTATTATTATATTATTATATCAATACATTATATATAATATTTACTTAGTATTATATACTGAATATAATGATAATACTTCCATACTATAAAGTTATATTACATTTATTGTAATTATATTACTTTTATACTAAATATGATGATGGTACTTTATTCAATAGTTATTTAAAGATTATTTAGATGAATTTTTCCCCCAATTTTGAAACAAATGTTGTACCTATTTTGGCACTCTTTTTTAAAATACTTAGATAGCACGTATAGCACTTAAATACCTAGATAGCAGGTATAGACAGAGGACTTTCGAACATGGTGGAACTGGAGAACTGCTGCAGTAACATCGCGATAACTTTGCGTTACCCGGGTCTATAATTTCCGAGAGCAATCGCCTTGAAAGACGTAATACCTCGATTCACGCTAGTACAGTGACGTACAACGTGCCAATTTTACGTTCATAGCCGTTTTCGCCTCACGATGAAACAAATACACACACACACACACACACACACATATTGACGGCAGATTAAACTCGCGACGAGGTTTTATATTTTTTTTATTAATTATTGTGTTCATATCGAAACGTTATTGTCTGGCTGCTTGTCGATATTCCAGCGTAGTATCTCATTGTATCTCACGCAAATGACGGATCGCGAATTATTAACTTCACGTGGTATAATCGTCTGAAAATAATTTATTTACACAACGACTTGTCGTTGCAAATTATTATAATCTCGAGACGAGTTATTCTTTTTTTTTTTTTTTTTTTTTTCGTAAACGAGATAATTCGCAAACCGGATTACTCCCATGGTAAATATGGTTATTAACTGTGTTTAAATGTTCGCGCGATCGTGTGGTATTAAAGTTTCACAAATCCGAAATTTCGACAATTTCGAATTTCTCGCGTAATTGCGCGTTTTACGTTTTACGAACCGGATTTTCGACTTGCAAAATCTCACGAGCGAGCACATAAAATTCCAGTTTAGAACGTGTCTCCACTTTAAAGGAGGATAAAATTTGTGTCAAATGCACAATTATATAGTGTGACGTAAACCGTCGTTGATAAGTAATTGCCTGGCCGCTTTTATGTGGAATGTGATTACTATCATCCGGAGAAATAATTTTTCAAATCACGAAAGAAGAGAAGGAGTATTAATACGTCCTAAATTTTATATAAATTTCGTAGAATGCGACGTAAAATTCTTTTAATCTCTACAATTGGAATTTTGAAAATCGCCCGAAGAAGTATTTCTTCTCTAAAAAAATAGTTCAAAAGTACATACTAAATTAGTTCATTTTACGGTGAAAGTGAGCAAGAATTTTTTATCAGAGCAAACGAAAAAAAGAATTAATAATACATGTATCTTTTCTAAATTAAAATAAAAATTAATAAACGTAATATTAATATATATATATTAATATATATATTAATATATATATTATATATTATACCGTACATTAATATTACGTTATAATTTTATATATTATATAAAATAATATATAAGCATATATATACTAATATATTATTATAAAATATTATATATTATATATAAAATAATATATAAGCATATACATACTAATATATTATTATAAAATATTATATATTATATATAAAATAATATATAAGTATATACATACTAATATACATTATAAAATATTATATATTAATATAATTAGTATGTATGTACTTATTATATATATAAGTATGTAAGTATATTATTATGTATGTACTTATATATTATATTATATATAAAATAACATATAAGTACATACATACTAACATATATATATAAAATATTATATATTAATATATATCAATATAAATGTATGATAATAATATTAATGTAATATGATTATAATGTAATGCAATTAATACGATGTAAATGTACAAATCAATATAAATACACGAGATTAACATAAATTTAATTAAACTGTATTGTCGTACACTAGACACTCTAAGAAATGTGCATTCTTCAAAAGAGAAAAAGAAATTTGCAAGTATACCAAATTAAACATTATAAACGAATAGTTATAAAATTTGTAAAATTTAAATCTCTATTTGATTACATTTTAAATCGAAAAAAATTACATTTTAAACCTGGCCAAAAAGCTAAATTTGTTCCGATCTCTACAAGTTGTTCCGCCGCTGCGAGCAGAGAGAACGAAGTTGTTATCCAGTGAAGTTCAACGCGACATCTGCATCGAAAACACAAGAGTCCCGCGCATTAACTCGCGCGAGAAATTGTAATTTTCGCGTCGGCGCGCGTTTGGACGGAAGTGAAATTTAATTTCTCGTTTCCGCGCATCTGCTCCGGGTGAGGAATCGTTTGAATCCATTTAAACGGCCGCCGCAAAGAATTTCACTTTACTTGCCTCGCGCGCAGCTGCGAAATTTAAATTGAAAAAAAAAAAAAAAAGGAAAAAGAAAAAGGAAGAGCCACCGATTCGAGTGATTTTCTGCAGAAGTTTTCAGAGCCATTTGTTCGCGATGCTCGAATTGTCGGCCGTTTTCTCGGTCAACTTCCGGCTAGAATCGAAATTCCGGTTCGCGAAATTCCCGTCGTTTCTCGGTTCTTTTCTGTTTTCGAGTGTTGCTTGAACTGAGTTGCAGTTTCCGAATTCATTTTTTCACGTTTGATACGTTTATTTAATTAATTTAATTTAATTTAATTGTAATATTTGTTTAATAATATTTATTTCTTTATTTTCTCGTTTCGTTGTTAATAATTATTTAAATTATTATTATAAAATTATTTGTGCAGGTTGCATTATATTTTACTATATATATATATATATATATATTATACACATTTTATGCATATTTTATTATATATGTACATTACATAGATACTTTACTATGTACATTATATTTTATTATTACATATATAGCTTGCTACATATGTTTTATATTGTACATTACATCTGTCATGTTTCAAATATTTGAAGAGAAACATTTTGAAGGATTTTAAACATTTTATTGTGGCAAATTTACATTGAAAAGCACATAATTGGATCAATAACTGTATGTGAACAGAAATCATCCTCTATATAATGTATGTAATAACACAATTTAATTATTATATTAATATACGTATATAATACATGCAGCAAAGTCTGTATATAATGTATATAATAAAATACGTATATACATAATGTATGTAATGTGTATAATATACATAGTAAAATATGTAGCAATATACATGATGTATAAACTAAAGTATGAATTTTTATTTGTAATGTATGTAATAAAATAAATATAAAGAATGTATCTATATGTATCTATATATAGGGTGATCTATTTAAATAAGCTCACCTAAATGGACCACCCTGTATAGTGATGTCCGTATATAACATACGTACATAGTAACGTATAATAATAATTTATCTACATATGTAACAATATACATAATAATTTACGCATGTAACGTATGTAGTAAATTACATCTGTAACGTATATAGTAATCAATGCAGTAAATTACTGTCTGCAATGTGCGTGATAATTCATCCAGTAAATTACGTCTGCAACGCATGTAGCAACGTATGTGCTAAATTACGTCTGTAATACATGTAGTAAATTTCTGTGGTAAATTATGCTTGCAACGTGTGTGTATGTAACCTCTCTCAAAAAAATATGTCGAAAAATCATTCTCTCTCTCTCTCTCTCTCTCTCTCTCTCTCTCTCTCTCTCTCTCTCTCGCTGCTGCCATAATCCGGCTCACTGCAAAAAAATGAACGCGAGAAGAGGAAGAGCCACGATATTTGCAGCTTCGAGTTTCTCGCTTTGATCAGGAAGTATTCTGACGTGAAAATCAACGAAAACGCATTTTTATCATAAACTCCCTATTTATTTTCTCGCTTTGTCGGCTTGGCCTGTAATTGCTGGCTTAACGATGAATTTGACGCATAGTTGCTCCCCTTTATGGGTGGTATCATTAAGCGGATGGCCGTCTCCGCTCGAAGAGATCGCCTCGTTTAATTTCAATGTTCGTCGAGTCGAGTACAACACGCTCGTGGACAAAAGAATACGGCAGTTTCGCAGAGGCGTCCTCGGTGAACTGCCTATGTGAGATCGCTGCGAATTTTAATTGCGAATTTATTCGTATCTTTTTATTCACTTTCATTAATTTTTGCAACAATATTTTGAAATTTAATTTTAATTCAGTGACTTGCCAGTTCCGACTGTTTTAGTGGTTTTGTATACTTCTATTTTATATTTTATGTTTCAGTATTTATGTTTAGTGGTTTCTTTTAAAAGCAATTTCTCTAGTAATTCTGATGGTTCAGTGACTTTCAGAGGTATTTTATATTTTAGTGCTTCTGATGGTTTCTTTAGTAATTTCTTTAGTAATTCTGATGGTTTCTTTAGTAATTCTGGTGGTTCAGTGATTCTTTAGTGATTTCTTTAACAATTTTGTTGGTTCAGTGACTTTTAGAAATATTTTATATTTTAGTACTTCTGATGGTTCCTTTAGTAATTTCTTTAGTAATTCTGATGGTTCAGTGGCTCTTTAGTGATTTCTTTAACAATTTTGATGGTTCAGTGACTTTCAGATGTATTTTATATCTTAGTACTTCTGATGGTTTCTTTAGTAATTTCCTTAGTGATTTTTTAAGTAATTCTGATGGTTTCTTTAGAAATTCTGGTAGTTTAGTGACTTTTTAGTAGTTTCTTTAACAATTTTGATGGTTCAGTGACTTTCAGAGATATTTAATATTTTAGTATTCCTAATAGTTTCTTTAGTAATTTCTTTAGTAACTCTTATGGTTCAGTGACTTTCAGAGGCATTTTATATTTTAGTATTTCTGATAGTTTCTTTAGTAATTCTGATGGTTCAGTGACTTTCAGAGATATTTTATATTTTAGTATTTCTGATGGTCTATTTAGTAATTTCTTTAGTATAATAATTCTGATGGTTTGGTGACTCTTTAGTAACTTTTTAAGTAACTCTGATGGTACAGTAACTTTCCAATTTTGACTATTTTAATATTTTCTTACATTTACATTTCATATTTTATTTTTACTTTAGTATATTTGTTCTCTCTCTCTCTCTCTCTCTCTCTCTCTCTCTCTCTCTCTCTCTCTGAAGCTTCGGTTTACCACTAATTGTCTTCGACTATTTCAAAATGTATATACTGGACTAAACTAAAATAATTTCTACTGCATAATACATAGCACTACTAAATCACATTTTCATTTCTTTAATACAATTAATTACAATTAGCGGATTATTTATTACACTTAACGGCACATTATTTATTTAGGATATTATAGGATATATATATATATATATATATATATATATATATATATATATATATATTATTTCATATATTATTACTTATATTTTACTTATTACAGGATATATTTATATTTATTATTATATTATAATATATATATTATTTTATATTTTATTATTTATACTACATACTAATAACACTTTCATTTCATTAATACAATTAATTACAATTAGCGGATTATTTATTACAATTAACGGCACGTCCCAGCGTGAAATCGAAAACTTCGCGAGGATCTCCTCCCGCAGCCCGGTGGATCGGTTCCCTACCAGCGGATAGAAACTCGGCGAAATATTTGGCCAAGCAATTAGCAAGTTCGTAATCCGGCGGTTGCGGATTCCTCTGCGCGTGGATCGATCGGAATCTCTCGCCGCGCCGGGGGCACGTGTGATTTCTCGTTCCGTGTTCGCGGCAGTTTCCGGTGGATCGGATTTCCGGGCTCGTTCGGCGCGCGAGCATCGTTCGCTCACGCTCGCGCGTCTCGCTTTCCTCCAGTTTAACATCAACCCCTTCAACCACCCCTTCGCGATACTCGCCGCTTTTCGCCCGCACGTGAACGCGTCGCGGAGCCATGAAATGATTTACCGTAGTAGTTGACGGAAATAGTTGATAGTTCCGGGCAGAGGAAACCGGTTGTCGATTGTTGAACGGTGTTTTTGGGTTGTCGAGTGGATTATCCCGGGCAAAATCGTTTCTTAAAGAGAGCAGTATAGCTTACGGAAATTTGCAAGCGTTTGCGGGGATAAATGGAAATGAGGGAGACTGTGACGTGATGAGAAAATAGTTATGTTGAAATAAATATTATAAAAATGTGTATATACAGCGTACACTGCCGCTGAAAAATCCTAAAGCAGGTGTTTATATTTATTTGTCTCAAAGTTGGATAAATTAAATGAATCGACAAAGTACTAAATTAAAAATTACATTATAAATGTGTTAATATGATATATTTATATATTTGTATATTATATATTTATAATGTAATTAACAATTTTGATGGTTTAGAATTACTAGAGAAATTACTAAAGAAACTAACAGAAATACTAAAATATAAAATACCTCTGAAAGTCACTGAACCATCAAAGTTGTTATATGTTTATATATTATATATTTATAATGTAATTATAAATATATTATAATGTATTTATATATAATTAATTATAATACACTATATAATATATATGTATAATATAATATACTACACTATAATATATTATAATATACTATTTAATACATATGTAATTAATTATAATATATTATTATAATACACTATATAGTATATATGTATAATATAATATACCATACTATAATATATTATTATAGTATGTATAATATAATATACTATACTATAATATATTATAATATACTATATAATATATATGTAATTAATTATAGTATACTATTATAAAATAGTTATGTAATTGAGGAATTTTATTGCCTATGAGAAATACTGAATATTAAAAATGAAATTTATCTCATCGAGACTTTCGAGGAGTATGCATGTATATAATTATATATCAATTTATACTTAATTGAATATAATTGTAAATTGATATATACTTATATTGAAGTATAACATACTATATTAAATATTAAATTAATGTTAGATATTTGCAGAATAAATTTACATATAAATATTTATTATGATTAACACAAATATAACGATATAATAATAGCTGCGACAATAATACAAGCTAATATGAGTAATACTAAATATTAAAAGATCAATATTCATCTTCCCAATGTCTAATAATAATTTTTCCTTATAGGAGAAGATTATCGTGCTAAATTAAAAAAATTCTTGCTCAAAAGTTCTAACGTCAAACTTGGACTATTTTTCATTATACTAAATAAATTTCAAACATTCTTCAATACCCTTCCTCCCAAGAACAGCAAAGAGATTCACCCCGACATTCGGAAATTTGCGTCGAACAAAAATGCTAACCGGTGGTTAGAATACGAACGATCTCGAATTTAATGGAACTGCATAGCCATCGTCTCTAATAGAAAAACATTCGTTTTTATTGCAGGGTATTTCCCTCTGCCGCCAGTTTACTGCCTCGCCTGGATCTGCCTCGACGTTTTATTATGCACGGCCAGCATCATGCACTTGTGCACCATAAGCGTGGACCGATATCTGAGTCTACGGTACCCCATGAAATTCGGCCGGAATAAAACCAGGCGGCGGGTTATGCTGAAGATCAGCTTCGTCTGGCTTCTCAGCATCGCTATGAGCCTACCTCTCAGTCTGATGTACTCGAAGGTGAGAGTGTTAGCTTAATGTGTTAGTATTCACGTATGAACATTCACACCGTACATCTCGAGATTGAAAGGTATCGTTTTATTTATAATATGTACGTACGTCGTTCCAGGTTTTGTCCTTTTGTCAAATCTTGGTTATTGGAATTAACTCTTTTCTTTTAAATGTTACTGGAATGTTAATTTTTCCTTCTAACAAAAGAACTTCAGGTCGTCAGGTTGGTTACATTTTTGAGAAATGTCGAGGATAATGAAAGAAAAAAAAAAAAAAAGGGGGAAGAAGCAAGAAATGCCACAAGAAATAATTGAGAAGGAAATTAATACTATTTTAGTTTATTAAAAGATTTGGAAATAAGATGATTTATAGAGATAGTCTCTTGTAACTAATAAAAGACTTGAGAAAGAAATTAATAGTATTGTAGCTTACTAGAAGATTTAGAAACAAAATTATTTGTAGAGAATTACTTTTAGAATTACTTTTTTATACTTGTAAGAAAAGACTTGAGAAAGAAATTAATATTATTGTAGTTTACTAGAAGATTTAGAAACAAAATTACTTGTAGAGTTAGAATTACTTTTAGAATTATTTTTTTATACTTGTAAGAAAAGACTCGAGAAAGAAATTAATATTATTGTAGTTTACTAGAAGATTTAGAAACAAAATTACTTGTAGAGTTAGAATTAGTTTTAGAATTACTTTTCCATATTTGTAAGAAAAGATTCGAGAAAGAAATTAATATTATTTTAGTTTACTAGAAGATTTAGAAACAAAATTACTTGTAGAGTTAGTATTAGTTTTAGAATTACTTTTTCATATTTGTAAGAAAAGATTCGAGAAAGAAATTAATATTATTTTAGTTTACTAGAAGATTTGGAAACAAAATTACTTGTAGAGTTAGAATTAGTTTTAGAATTACTTTTTCATATTTGTAAGAAAAGATTCGAGAAAGAAATTAATATTATTTTAGTTTACTAGAAGATTTGGAAACAAAATTACTTGTAGAGTTAGAATTAGTTTTAGAATTACTTTTTCATATTTGTAAGAAAAGATTCGAGAAAGAAATTAATATTATTTTAGTTTACTAGAAGATTTGGAAACAAAATTACTTGTAGAGTTAGAATTAGTTTTAGAATTACTTTTTTATACTTGTAAGAAAAGACTTGAGAAAGAAATTAATATTATTCTGGTTTATTAGAAAATATGGAAATGAAAGATTTAACCTAAAGAAACAGAGAAATTCTAGAAGTCTTGGAAATGAAATTACTTTACTAATAGAGCACTCCCCAAAGTAAATTCAATTTTCTGAATAAAAGCTAAATTTTGTTACATTCCTTGTTTCTTTCCTTTAATCATTTCATGATCATTGCACGTGACTCACTATGCTTGCAAATAACAGGTGCTCACTTTCTCATTTTAACATACAACGACTCCATACAATTTTGTATAATTATCATTTGAAAGCTAACTATTCATCGTCTCTTTCTTTTAAACCTCAATTTACCTCATTTTTGCTTAGAATTATCTTTCTTCTCGTCGACACTGGAAGCGTGCGAACGTTAGAATGCTAATTTCTCTTGTACCGAATTTCGTGTACAGCGATTTTTATCGATAGTCAGACACAGCAACGGTTCCCGCAAAATTACAATGCGGCTCTGAAAATTCAGAGTAACTCGCGCGAGTATTGCAACATCATTAATTCGCGGTCTCGCGAAGGCAATACGGATATTCGTGGCCTCCGCCGGGCAAAGAAACGAGAAAGAGCAGGAGAGGCGGAGAAAAAAAGAAAGCAGAAGAAGAAGGAAAAGGGAGAAGTGCAAGGCATGGACTGTTGTAATTTAAGAGCTATTTTCTGATACGAATCGTAGCTGCATGCTAGACGGTGCAGTTTCGTGAAGAGTATAACGTGCATCAATTCGGAACACTCGTGGGATCGACGATATCGAAGAGCGCTGAGAATATGGAAATGAATGCGGCGTATCCACCGTATATCATACAAATATTTAGGTTACCTATAATTCTTGAACTTCGAGAGGGATGTACAATGAAATAACTTGCTACACGTGTTAAATGTATATGAAACTAATAAATTTGTAAATCTAACTTGATCATCTTTTCATTTATTAATCAAGTCAAAAAAATACTTTTCAGCCACTAGTCGACATGCTGTGATTTAATTTAAATAACAGAAGCAGATGTATTACAATTGAAAATTATATTGATTCAGACAGTTTAGGAGATGGATATGTTAATTATTCTGAATGAATGTTTATGAATAATTTTTCTGTGTTGAACGATGTTCGAATAGTTTTGCGACAGTACTGTACTATATATGAAAGAGTAATAAACGTTGTATTCAATTATTCGAACGCTTAGGTATATATATATATGGCTACGTGTGTCTATAATTAATCGAACCAGGCTAGTTAAATTAATGTATATTTACACTGTAAGGCCATATATTTACATTGTGCAAAATTTATTAGACGTGCAATTACTGCCGCCGTGTTCCTAGCTAAAGTATACCATTGTTATATTGTTCAAAAATGTATCGAATCGATCAAACGCAGTGTACGGTATTCACGTAAAAGTACAATGAAACATTTCGCGAGAAGAATTTTTTTATCAAGTTATACATACACGTGGCAGAGTACGCGTGGCAGAGTTTTTTTGCGTCGAAATTTTGAAAAGCCACGAGCGAATGAAACATTTTGATTCAAAATATAATAATAGTAGTAATATTTATAATATATATCATATATTATAAATATTATAATATATATAATTATAAGTGAATTTAATGTAATAACAACGTTTGTAATCTTGGCTGACAATCACGATTCTGTCATTGAATATTCATACTCGTTAAATCCTGACAATTAAAAATTTGAGAATGATACGTTTTCATTGTCATAACAAATAGAAATTTCATTTGTTTCGAGCAACAGTGTGAAAAGAAAAGTGTGATGATAATTCATTCAAATAAATATTTAGCATATTACGTGTAAGAACGTCAATTGAAGTAACTATGTAAGAAATCTTTGAGACATCTAATTAAAAAATTTCTGTTTGAAACAAATGTACGAAAAGATAGCTAAGTATGTATCGGGCAGCTTTTGTTCTCCAACGACTCGTTTGTTAAATGTCTCACTGGCTTTCCGTGCTACACGAAACGCTAAAGTTCCCTCTTTTCTTTTGTATTTCCAGCGTGGATTGCAGAAACTAAATGCTTGTAGAAGGTTACCTCTAAAATCTATGAAATACAAAGAACCGAGCCATTTCAACGACGTTATTCCGGGAAATATTTGGAGAAAAAAAGGAGTTCAAGGATGCCATTGTTAATTATTATGCAGACGCACATTTCACGCTGAATTTTTGTTCAATATTTCATCGAAAGTATGATTGCGATCGAGTTTACATTAAAATAAAATTGAAAAAATTGTACAAAGTAAAATACAAATAAAATTTAAAAAAAATGTACAAGGTAAAATACAAATAAAATTGAAAAAAATCTAAAAAGTAAAATACAAATAAAATTGAAAGAAAATGTGCAAATTAAAATACAAATAAAATTTTAAAAAATGCACTAAGTAAAATACAAATAAAATTTGAAAAAATGTACAAAGTACAAATAAAATTGAAAAAAATCTACAACGTAAAATACAAATAAAATTGAAAAAAAACTACAAAGTAAAATACAAATAAAATTGAAAAAAAATGTGCAAATTAAAATACAAATAAAATTGAAAAAAATGCACTAAGTAAAATACAAATAAAATTTAAAAAAATGTACAAAGTAAAATACAAATAAAATTTAAAAAAATGTACAAAGTAAGGTACAAATAAAATTGAAAAAAATGTACAAAGTAAAGTACAAATAAAATTGTTAAATTGTTAATTATCTTGTTCTGTTTGTTAAATTGTACTTGTGGTCATAATTAGATTTTGTATACATTATCATAATATAGAATCTCTGAACATTTTGAACAATCTCTTTCAGTATTATACAAGTTTGAAATGAACTTGGAATTGAATTATTAAAAATTCTGTAACATTCATAAAATAAGAGTTTATAATAATATTTATAGTATATTTTGAAATTCTTCTCCTTAGGCAAACAAATGTACTATACAAATACACTATGTTACACAGAACGATAATAAATAAATAATATGGTTCGCCACTTCTGGTTTATATTCATAAAATTTCTAAATTCGTGTGTTAATCTTCATTTAAACTAACATGTCTCTAATTTGTCTCTTTTCGATGATAATTTCAAGACTGATTCTTACATTAATAACAGAACGATGTATCAAATTGTCACAAAAACTAAACTTTCATTAATAGAAATCATTTTCTATTGAAAACAATCTCTTTTACTTTTATCAGACAAGCTGCTTAACAATAATTTCTTATTTAAGAAAATTAGCTTCGAGTGATTTGTGACGAAACGTAAAATTAACGTAAAATAAAACGAAACGATAAATGACGAGTGAAACGAGGTTGCAAACCCGTTTTGGACAATCGGACACTCGCTATTCGAGAATTTCGCTAAATTGCGACATCGTTTGTCATAAAACGTATTACCCCTAATACAAATTTACTTATCCGGGATTTAATTTTCCAGTCCATCGAACTCGAAATTCCCCATTTTATCAGCCAGTTGTCTCCTTCTTAGTTCCCCCAGAGGCACTTTCAAACGACGTAAGTAACAATTTGTCAAGTTTTAATGAACGCGCGTTTTCGAGGCGAATCCACGAACGGATTTTTGCGGGCAACTTGGAGAACGAGAGGGCATTGTTTAATTAATTCTTGACATTCCTAACTTGGGTGTATTTACGGGGAAATTGAAATTGGCCGTAGCATATCTAAAGTCTCTGTTATTCTGCGAAGACTCATGAAAAATTCAGACTCACCGAGGTCGAAACGGGCTGATTGCTATTAATATATCAGCGGACCGTTCTGATCTAACTCCGGCCTGAATCTACTGTGGTTTTCAATTTCTA